TCTCTCTCTCTCTCTCTCTCTCTCTCTCTCTCTCTCTCTCTCTCTCTCTCTCTCTCTCTCACACACACACACACACACACACACACACACATTGTGTGTGTGTGTGTGCCTGCAAAAAGTAGCAGTATATGACAAGGGCCCGCGGACGATGTATGTGCCAAGTACTGGTGGTCTAACGAAACAGAAACGAGTGAGACTCCGCCACCCAGTGATAGTAAGCGGTACTATTACCCACCCACTGAGTGCAACTTTCTCCTTCTCCCATTATCACACAGGTTCCATGATTTCTCCACAGAGGTAATAAATAGCATTGAAGTGACTGGGTCGATGCAGGATATACCCTCGACGGATACTTGGGCCCATTGGGCCCACGTCAGGCATTCAGTTCCAGGGGCACACGGGAATATGGGAAGAATCCGAGATAATGGGATTACCCAAAACAGCAGCCTTTTCTTTTCATGCACCAAAGGAAGGTCGGTAATGACATAGATAACATGGGTGATCTAGAAAAGACAAAAAAAAAAAAAAAAAAAAAAAAGATGATATCAGTGATATGGATGATGACAAGGTAAACCAAACACAGACGCTTCACTGCACCACATCCTTGCTCATTCAGACACAACCAGCAGAGACCATGGGCCCTGAACAACATGAAAACACATTCATATGAAAGATGGCATGTGGATACATAATTGCAATCTGCTATCATCCCAAAGACCAAATCCTCCTTTCAAATTGAAAAGGCAAAAAAAAAAAAAAAAAAAAAGCATTCATCCCTTCTTGCAGGCTTGTACTGTATAAATTATTTCCCCAGAAGTGTTTGTTTCCAGGCCGCCTTCTTTTTTTCTATAAAATCAAAGAATAAGTATACTAATCAATAAATAATAAGTATAAATAAGTAATAAGTATACAATTAACAAATACTACTCTAAAAATATAATACTAACTAAGCAAGAAGTAATTTGATCTGTATAATATAGACGTCCTTCTTTTTCCCCCTTTCATCGTCATCATTTTTCTTAACCCATACTCTTCTTTTCCATGGCATGAAGTTGGCAGGCAATTAATTGTCTAAAGAAGTCAGATGCCACATTTAAATAAATAAATAAATATTAAAAAAAAAAAAAAAAAACAGATGCCATATCAAAAATCAAGGCAGGGCATCCGTTTCCAATTTCGTGCTTCGAGATGTAATAGAGTACTTTGACTTGTGTGATTTGTCCACGTGTCACTTGTGTACTTCATTCTGTGATTGTGCCTTTGAATTCTTCATGTCATATCGTATATGGATATATCGTCACAAACAGAACTGCCCGGTAAACCGTAGGCAGAGAGAGAGAAGAGGACAACAAACGAGGGGCTGTGACAAACTGTTTCGTCGGAGTTTCACCGACTCATNGAGAGAGAGAGAGAGAGAGAGAGAGAGAGAGAGAGAGAGAGAGAGAGAGAGAGAGAGAGAGAGAGAGAGAGAGAGAGAGAGAGAGGAAAGAGAGATCCACGGTTAATTCCATTATTACTAATTTATTAGTAGTTCTCTAACTTCTCTTCTGTCTTTGGTTTCTACTGAAAACCAAGAGATGGGAAGCTCAAATTTCTCTATTCTGTATGTTGGGATTTCATCGTCGGTGAGAAACTCAGGCCATACTGCATGAAACTAGGACCTTCCTGGATGTGTCTGGACTCTGGATGCAATGGAGGGACATATTCAGTCAAGAGAGCCCTAGTGTGACGATGTTTGGTTTAGTGAAATAACCCCAGGTGACTTTTATATGCCTCATATTTGACACATCATTTCCTTCAATCAAGCAAAACAGTGGTGTCAGGGAAATCAAAGTTTCATCGGCTTCAAAGGATCTGTGGCTTTAACGCGTCGGACTGGGTCGTCGTATTTCATCTTCGAGTGGCATGTCCTTCATTAACCCCACCACAAGCCCTTCATTACCCCTTTTATGACCATCCTGGTAACTTATCTTTACATGGATGACCACTCTGGTAACAAGGAGGCCTGCGCTTTTTTTACCAGGCTGGCCATAAACAGGGTACTGACCACCCTCGTAAGTTTAATGACACACTGGTAACAAGAGGCCAGCCCTTCTTTACCGGGCAGTCGTAAAAAGTTAATAACGGCCACCCTGGTAAAAAACGAGGGCTGACCTTCATTAACCCAGCTTCACCTTCATAAACCCCACCACTACCCCTTCATTACCCTTGCTTGCTATGACCCCCCTAGTAAACAAAAAAGGGGGGCCTGTCCGTCTAAACCCCCTCCGCTACACCTCTAAGAATAAATAAAATTATGATTTTGCTTCAAGAATATGCCAAGCTCTACACTTGCTCATTCACATCTCGTTGCATTGATTATTTTCTATCGAAATCGAAATTTTATTTGAACGGGCTCAGCCAGTTCCTCATGCCAAACAGAAAAATCCAAATACGACAGAAGTGGGCGGAACAGCGAGGGGCAAGCAAGGACCTGCCTACTGGCAACCTCCATCTCTGGCAATTGGTCCTCGCAATCTACGGATCTTCATTCTGAAACGAGCTGTCAGTCAGTACGACCTGATCAGTGCTCGCACTTGCAGCTTTTTTTTTTAAAGGCCGTACGTTAGAATTGAATTTGATCGAATCACGACATAAAGAGAGAGAGAGAGAGAGAGAGAGAGAGAGAGAGAGAGAGAGAGAGAGAGAGAGAGAGGGAGGGAGGGAGGGAGAGAGGGAGAGAGAGGGAGAGAGAG